GGCAAAATGATGGAGAGTCTGCTCAAAATACGCTTGACGTCAGCCATAGAAAGCGAGGGAGGCCTTTCACCCCGACAAGATGGGAAGACATGCTGGAGGCCTTGGAACGGTCATTCAAGGTTCCAACATACTTGCTAGATATGATCCGGGGCTACCTCAGAGACCGTTGGCTTTTGTACGACACAACACAAGGTCAGAGAAAGAGACGTATAACCGGCGGAGCGGCACAGGGGTCTGTACTTGGCCCGGACCTCTGGAACGCCACGTATGACAGTCTGTTGCGCACGGAAATGCCGGAGAGCGCCTTCCTTGTCGCCTTCGCGGACGACGTGGCAGCCGTCATAACAGCAAGAAATGTCCAGCTAGCACAGCTCAAGCTAAACCAGGTCATGCGCAACGTCAGTGGATGGATTAGCGATCACGGTCTGCAATTGGCTAGAGCCAAAACGGAGATCATTCTCCTCACCAGGAAACGGATCCCAACAATTAGAAATATGATGGTCGGACCTCAACTCGTGACGACTTCTAGGTCTACAAAATACCTAGGGGTGAAGCTTGACAGCAAAATCACATTCTGGGAACACATCCATGGAGTATGTGAAAAAGCTGCGTAGAGCACGGCGGCTCTAAGCCGGCTGATGGCGAACGTGGGCGGCCCGAAGCCATGCCGCAGGAAGCTTCTGATGACAGCGGTCCAATCGGTGCTCCTGTACCGGGCAGAAATATGGGCTGACGCATTGAAAGTAAAAAAATACCGGATTCAAATGTCTTCGGTCCAGCGCAGAGGGGCACTACGCATTGCTTCTGCATACCGTACAGTGTCCGCGGACGCGGTTCTAGTTATTTCTGGCGTCATGCCAATTGAGCTACATGCTTACGAGCGAAAAGAGATTTACAATCTCAGTGCCTAGATAGGTCGAGCAGCTGCTTTTTGCGTTTCTTTTTTTGTGTCAACTGACGGCAATTGGAAATCCCAAGTGAAGCCAAGTCCTTCTCCACTTGGCCTTTTCATCGCACTATGTTCATGTCATGGTGAAGCTCATACAGCCGTCGTCAATGCCTAAATTTCCGTAACTCTTCCGCAAAATGTTTCTTTCGAATACTCGAAGAGCCGTCTCATCGGATGTTGTTACTGTTTACTGTCCATCTTCTGCGCCATATACCAGCACGGGCATGACGAGTAACTTATAAGAGTGTGGTTTTCATACGTCGAGAGAGGAATTTAGATCTGATTTGCATACTCAGTCCAAAGTAGCACTTGTTGGCAGGAGCGATTCTGCCTTGAATTTCGATGCTGACATTATTATCGGTGTTAATTCTGGTTCCCAAGTAAACGAAAATCTCCACTTTCTCGACATCATAACTCACAACAGTGACGTGAGCGCCGAAGCACGAATGCGCTGACTGTTTGTTTGATGAAAGAAGATACTTCGTCTTGTCCTCATTGACTACCAGACCCAATCGATTTGCTTCTTTATCCAAGTTGGAAAAGGCTGAACAGACGTCGCGGTTCTTATTATGCCAGCAATTGCACGCTCTTGTAGAGAATTGTTCATGAGCAGTTCAGTACTGCAGCTCTTATTATCTGGTGGTGTTGCTCAACTTTATTGTACACAGCCGTATCACTTAAGCGGGGATACAAAATTCAGACATCGCGGCGTATAGGCAACTCTGTTTAGTGCTGGCGGCTTTGAAGTCGACGAATGGTGATTTTTTCGCGGGTCTTTTACAATACCTGGTCTTTGTTGAATTTGCAAGGTCTAAAGCCACACTGATAGGACCCAATCAGTTCGTTTACGGTGGGCGTCAGTCTTTCACACAATATGCCCGTTAAGACCTTGGAACCTAGTTAAGGCCTTGGAAACGTGGTAATTGGTAGGCCGCCCCATGGATTGGGCCGAGCACCCTTAAATTCCAGTCGGCGAGAATGCGTTCATCTGATCATATTCTGCATGACCGTTGATACATGGACGTTATCAACTACTCGTTGCCGTACTTGAATAGCTCAGCTGGCAGGCTGTCAGCTCCAGCGGCTTTGTTGTTTTCCAAACTCTCTATTTATATTCGTACTCATCATCGACTGGGGGCCCGGTTCGTCTTCTCAGTGCTGCTACCATTCAGTAGGGTGGAAAAGTGTTCCCTCCATAATTTAACTATATTCTGGACATTAGTCACTAGGTAGCCGTTGTAGTTCTTACAAGAGTTCGCCCAGGTCATGAAAACTTCCGTAAGTTGCTTAATTCTCTGGTAAAATTTTCGAGCATTATTCCTGTCGGTTTTCACTTCAAGCTTTTCGCACTCACGTATATCGGCCTCTTTCTTATTGCGGCAAATACGCCTCGCTTCCCTCTTCAGTTCCCTACAGCGGTCCCACATAGCCCACGTTGCGCCCGATCGCAGCGTGACCCTGTAGGCGGCATCTTTTTCTATGCAGCTTCTTGACATTCGTCATCCTACCAGTTTTTTTCGGGCTCGCTGAAATTCAACTGCTTCTTCGGCGGCGGCACTTAATGAATCAGAAATATGGTTCCCTCCTCGCATATAACGGTTTGTTGGGGTGCTCTCTGAGAGTAAGTGTGAGAGTCGAGTAGCGAATGCATTGGCCGTCTGTTGGCCAGCTTACAGTTCGTAAATATATAAGCGTAGTTATAGAGGTATATTATTTTTCCCCAAAAAATCCAACTACATATAAAGGCGAAGAATAGAAGCGGC